TAATAATCTACTAGAAACTAACATAGAGTAGGTAGAAGAAGAGGCCTTTTGTGTACTAAAACTAGCTAGGCTCCTAGATAAAGAGAGAGCAGATATAGTCCTACTATAGGCTAGAGCTGTACTAGAAAAACTGCTAAGCCTTACTTATTTATAACTAGACAGCTACTATACGCATTAGTAATATAGAGGCAAAGATAGAGGTAATCTAGCTATAGCCTAGGTAGATAAATCTATCTACTAGGTTCTTACTACCTTTAGTATAGGTAATAAAGCTTTTAAAGTTACTAGGGAAGAAGCGTAGTAAGGCTAACCTAGAGGTAATACAGACGTAGTCCTCTTATTACTCCTATAGGACTATCTATATCTACTAGTTATATTTCTTAATATAGGCTTCTGTAGTAGCTTAGTAGATCTTATGCTGTAGAAAGGTATTACGTAGGTTACCCTTCTAGGTAAGACTATTAATATACTAGCCTAGTACCTAGAGTTAGAGGTTAAGGTTAGAGCTAGCCTTAAAGAAAATATTCTTCTATTAAAACACGTCTTATAGGCTAGTGTTACTAACAGCTAGTAGCTACTATAGGTATAGGTAGATTTATAATAAGCTAGTCTAGCTAGTAAGAAGTAGCCTATAGCTAGAGGCGCTATAGAGTAGTAGCTATATTATACTATACTACTTAATAACCTGCTTTATATTAAGGCCTTCCTTAAGCTTCTTAGTGTCCTAGCTGCTAAACTGCTCTTACTACCTCTTCTTCTTTCTCTACTTTCTAGGAACGCCCTACTATATACTTCTATTTATAGTGTAGTATTCTAGACTAGCGTTAAGAAGACGCAGTATAGCTAAGGCAAGAGTACTATATTAGTCCTTATCTACGTCTAGTATACTAGACGCCTTAGAGCCTAGCGTATACTTAGTAGTAACCTTAATAATAGACTCTAGGTAAGCTAGCTAGTAGTTTATATCTACTATCTAGAAGTAATTAAGCTCCTCTATATTAAGAATCTAGAAGGAAAGGTAGGTTATTAGTATTAGGTTTCTTTCTTCTACTATACCTTACTTACTTCTACGCTAGTCTTCTAGTCTAGCTTCTTTCTACTTTTACTCTGCGTCTACCTCTTAGCGTAGGCCTAGGCTGTCTAAGGGCACTGCTAGTAGCGCTATACTATAGATATAGGCTGTAAATAACTTATAGGTAATATAGTACTCTTTCTATACGCTATAAGAGCACCTAGCTTAGCTAGATCTAGAGAGTATACTCTAGACCTAGCACTTTATACTTTTATATATAGATACTAAGCGCTAGAGGCTTACTCTATCTATATAGTTCCTCTCTATCTTCTATTAATACTACTCTTACAGCCTAGAGTTAGAGAGGCTAAGTCCTTCTAGAGCCTATTTTCTAAAGAAGAGGTAGTTCTTAATAGGCACTATAAACTACTCCTTATTAATATTATAGGCCTTAACGTCTACTATCCTACTAGTATATAGGTTAGACTACTTATATAGCTTAATAGTAAGAGCGCCTATATCCTGTAACCCTCCTATAGGATAGGTAGTAGCGTAGTTCTTAGGCTGCCCTAGCTTCTATAGGCTATCTCTAACCTATTTATAAAGATAGGCTGGCTTTTCTAGAATAGTGTAGCTAGGCTAGCTAGTAATTACCTCTTAAGCAAGATCTACCTAGTAGTAGCGCTAATCTACGTAGCCTAGGTACTCTATATAGAATATAGTATTTATTATCTAGTTAAATGCATAGAAGGTCTACAGCTATAATATAGAGTAAGTACCTTAAAGCTTAATATTATAGGCCTAGATAATAAGCTATAGCTTATAAAAGACGTTCCTCTAGCTATTATAGGTACCTATAATAGTAGAGTAGCGCTGCTAGATATTTGCCTAGAGCCTATCTAGGTCCTTCTCTGTAATTAAGTTAGCTAATGTAATACTAGTAGCATTACCTACTCCTTACTCTATCTCTGCCTTAATATATACCCTTACGTATATATCCTAGAAGCTAGTAGGATAGTGCTACGTAATATTTATTCTTACCTCTTTATATAGGGCTAGATAGATAGCCTAGTTAAATAGTCTTTCTAGTAACTTATTATCTAGGTAGCTAACAGCGTCTTAGTAGCTCTTGCCCTTAATAAATAGGTAGTAGGAAAAGAATAGGTAGGTAGTAAAGTTATAGCTAGCTAAAAAGATACTATATCTAAGCGTAATATACTTTATACAGTGTATAGGGGCCTCCTAGTTAACTATCTTTACCTTTTAATCTTGCTAGATAGACTATAGGTAGTTTAGACACTAATATATATAGAAAGCTATTTAGTAGATAGTAAGGCTTTTTGTTCTAAAGGTTACACTATCTACGTTAAACTACTACTTAAGAGTGCCTTCCTATACTATAAGTTACTAGAGAGCCTAAAACGCCTACTTTAACTTCTCTAGGCTTAGTTTTAGTAGCGCTTATCTAGAGCTAAGTATTTTACAGCTAGTAAGTAGCTTATCCTACTAGATCTGCTTAGAGAGCTAAGAAGGTAAAGACTAGCTTAATTATATAGTTTTATTAGATAGAGAGAATCTAGCTAGAGTAGCTATAGGTATATTATTCTTGTCTTTTAGCTCTACTAGGATTAGGCTCTTAATCTACTTACTAACCTATACTAGTGTCTATACCCCTAGTGCGTTAGTAGTAATATTTAGCTAGCTGCTTACTATATAAATATATAAGCATAGGGCTAGAAAGGAGGTAGTACAGGAACTTACTATATATATAATAATAAAATAAGAATATAGTACTAAGAGTATCTATTACTTTCTTTTACCTAGAGAGTAGCTCTCTTCTATTAAGTAAACTAGTAGGCTAACTTATTTTACTTAGGATTTCTACGCTGTCTACTAAAGAGGGGTATAGGCTAGAGCTATTACTATTACCTAGGCTACTCTCTACCTTCTCTACTATAGGTAGATCTAGCTATTTATTATCTAAACAGCCTATATTAGATTCTTCTGCTTCTATATTAGGCTTAAATACGTATAGGCCTAGCTCTTCTATATCTATAGAGTCTAGTATAGCTAGCGTAGGCGTTAGATATAGTAAATTTAGCTGTTCTTCTCTAGGCAGCGTTATATATACTTCTCCTATTAGGTATACTTTATATATAGGCGTACTAGAGGTATAGCTTTCTAGAAATAGGCCTAAAGAAAAGAAAGATTTATCTTACTAGTTACTAAGGAGGCTATTCTTGCGCTGTAGCACCTAGGGCAGTAGTAATAATAGTAGTGTAAAGAAAGTAAAGCTAGGTAGAATCTAGAACCTAAATACAAGATTTCTCTCTCTTCTTTTATAGTAATTCTAGCTGCGTATAGCTTAATATCTTACGCGTATTAAGTTCTCTAGGCTGTCCTCTGCCTTTCTTTTAAGAGAAGGTATAGTAATAGTAACTCTAGTTAGATAGTTAAATAACAGTAAAAATAGTATAGAGCTAGGAGGTGTAAGTTAGTAGAAAGAAGATAAGTAGAATAGTGTAAGAAAAGAGTATAGAAGGGATAGTTTATATAGTAGATAGGAATTATCTACTTCTCTTATTACGCCTATTAAGTAAGCTCTTAGTACCTACTTTATAATTTACTATAGTTACTAGTAAAGCAAAGTATAGGCTCTTAGAGTAGATATAGTATTAGAAATTAATAAGAACTAGGATATATATTGCAGATACTCTAAGTACTAATATTATTCTCTAATACTAAACTCTAGACTATCTTCTAAATAATTTCCTAGTAGTTCTTTATAATAATTTCTATAAAGGTTCTTATTAAGACTCTTTAGAGGGCCTCTTTCTAGACACCCTAGAAGACCTGTAGGAAGAGGCCCTAGAAGACCTATAGAAAGAGTTTCTTAGGCTATTAGAAGAGTATCTTCTGTTAGATTCTATAGAAGGCTTCTTAGATCCCCTTATAGGAGTAAGAGGCTTCTTTAGCTTACTAGCTAACTCCTTTAGCTTACTAGCTAACTTCTCTAGCTTACTAGCTAACTTCTCTAGCTTACTAGCTAACTTCTCTAGCTTACTAACTAACTCTTTTAGCTTACTAGCAGGCTCCTCTAGCTTACTAGCAGGCTTCTTCTATATAATCTAGATAGTTTTAATCTCCTTATCTAGGTTACTAGCTGCTATTACACTAAAGCTCTTCTAGGCTATATACTTATCTTGTAGTAAGTATACGTATATAAATATAAGCTTTAAGCCCCTATTACCTCTAAGTAAGAACTTATTAACACTCTCTTTTATTACCTTAGATAGGCTGTGTAAGGATAGATATAGTTCTATAAAAGAGACTATAATTAGCTTTCTATAGCCTAGGGTACTAAAGTAGGAACTAAGAGTCTTCCTAAGCTTAAAGAAGCTAAGGTAGGTAGTAAGTATAAGAATAATTAGGTAATAGCCCTACTATAACAGCTAAGACTAGAAGTAAGCTTCTTAGATATACTTTTAAAACTAGCCTAGGGCTTTATAGTAGGCAGAGCTCTTATTATAGTTACCTAGGCTATACTTCTACTTTATATAATATGCCTTGGCTATATTATAGTTAGAGTTACTAGGTTACTAAGGCCCTATATTCTTTGCACTTTGTTTTGTAAAATCCTAGAGAGTTATTTCTATCTTAACTAGCTTTATACAGGTAATAAAGGTCTAGAAGTATACCTAGGCTATACTCTTATTAACTACGCTAGTAATATAGTTAAGGTAGGCATAGAACTTGTCTAATGCTTTAGAAGAACTAGGAGAAGAAGAAGCTTTATTCTACTTTCTTTATAAGGCTTATATATAGCTTCTAGAGTCCTTATAAGTATAGTCTTATATATATAAGATCTGCTGTAGAGCCTATAGAGTAATAAGGCTGTATAGCTAGGCTTATACTTCCTTTATAGGATTTAGTAGCTTTATATATATAGGTAGTAGTAGTAAATTACTAAAACTGCTAGAGCCTAACCCTACTTATAATTCCAGCTAGCCTTAGTTTCGCCTAGAATAGGTAGTATTAGGGAAATCTATACGCTAACGCTTCCTAGTAGGTATCTCTGCCTTAACTATAGTAACCTTAGTAGTAACCTCTATAACCTTAGTAGTAACTTCTATAACCTCTTTCTTTTCTTCCTTTTCTTCCTTAATAGTAGCTACTTCTGTAGTTACTTTTACAGCTACTTCTTTCTCTACTATAGCTACTTCTATAACTACTTCTACAGCTACTTCTTCCTCTACTATAGCTACTTCTATAATAACTTCTATAGCTACTTCTTCCTCTACTATAGCTACTTCTATAGCTACTTTAGCCTTAGCTTCTTCCTTAACTATAATAACTTTCTACTTAATAGTAGTAACTTCTTAACTATCTTCTCCCTCTATAGTAGAGATATCTATTACTGTATTTTTCTCTTCTTCCTTTTCTTTCTCTTTTTCTTCTTCTTTCTCTTCTTCCTCTTCTTTCTCTTCTTCCTCTTCTCTTACTACTTTTTCTTCTTATTATATAGTAGTTTTATCTAGAATAGTAGTTATTACTCTAGGGAGCTACTCTTCTAATCCCTCCTCTTTTAGCTCTTCTGTCTTTTCTTTCTGCTCTTCTATCTTCTCTCTTTACTCTTCTATCTCCTCTCTTTACTCTTCTACCTACTCTTCTACCTACTCTACCTACTCCTCTATCTTCTCTTCCTCTACTTCTAATTCTAGGGGTAGTATATATTTTATAATCTAACTTTATCCTATTACTATAACAGCCTTATTATTATCTTTACCCTCTGTATTAGTATCCTTATTACTGCTTTCTTTACTAGCTTCCTCTTTTATAGGTATCTTTAGATTTATTTTAATAATAACCCTTACTATACTATACTAGAGGGTAGTAGGTAGCTACTTATTATTAAATACTAAAGGGGCACTTATAATCTTAACTAATTTACCTATATTAGATATAGTCTAGTAGAAGTAAGGTAAGCTTCTATATCTAGAGTTATTAACTATTACTACCTTGCTAGGGTAGATTAGCCTTAGTAGAGTTCTAGGAGAGGTAACTTAGTTATTAAGAAATACTCCTTCTAAAAGGTATTACTTTAGAGTAAGAAGAAGCTTATTAAGCTAGCTATACTAGTAGATCTACTACAGTGCTAGTTCTAGATTATAGGCTATAAACAGCTAATTACTATAGGCTAGTAAAGAGAGGCTATAGTGTTCTACTAGCTTAGTAAAGTAGAACTAGTATATTATAAACTTAGTTTTATATTATTTATCTAAGTAAAGAGAAGTATAGGCAAAGTAGCTAATATAGTTCTAATTAACTTTATAGGAGGTTATAACTAGGCTGTAAAGCTAAGTTAAAGAAGTTATAGTAAAAGGTATAGATAGATAGAAAGTAAGTAGAAGTTATAGTAGACTATTAATCTTATTAAAAAAAGGTAGGTTATTAAGGAAATCTAGAATTTAGGTAGGAGTAGGGCTATAGCTCTATTTAATAAGTAGGGTAACGTAACGTATTATCCTCTTATCTTACTTACTAAAAGATTAACAGAAGGAATATACTACTCTAAACCTAAAGTAGTTAGCATTTTATATATAGTTTTAAAGGAGGTTAAAAGGAGGTATAAATTACTAGTGTCTTACTAAATAATATTATATTGCTCTTATTACTTTAAAGTAGCTAGGAAGAAGTTAAAGCTAGGAAATAATATATAGCCTGTATAGGTTTAGATAGGCTAATTAGCTATATAAATCCTATTATAAAGTATATAGATATTAGCCCTATTTATATAATTTTTTAAAGAGATTTCTATTCTTATACTAGTATATAATATATACTTATAATAAGAAAAGTATACGCTAGGGTAGCTATAAGATTCTATTATATATTCTCCTAAATTAAGGCACCTATTTTATAAGATATAGAAATCTAGTAACCTCCTTAAGAAAGAACTTCTATAGGCTTAGAAGTAGTAGAAGCCTTTTTATTATCTCTACCTTAGGGTTATTAATAGTAGCTGTTGTAGAAATAGCCCTAAGAGGACTTTACTTTTTAAACTAAGATTCTAGCTTAAGAAAAAGCTCTAGGGTAGCCTAAATATAAGAGTAATAGCTATAATAATAAACAAAATACTATAGTAAATCCTCCTCTTTAATAACAGCACTATTAAGAGATAAGATTATAACTCTATATAGATTAAGAGCTACCTTATTAAAGGCTTTTTATTATTTTTTATTTAGTCTATATATAAAGCTAATAGTATAGACTACTTTCTAGGTATTTATACGTTAACGTATCTATGCATTACTACTAGAGTAGGCATACTTAACATTATCCTAAAGGGTATACGTAGGTAGATTAGCTTTAGAGCTTTCTCTTATTAAGATTACTCTTTCTAAGATAGAAAGGAGGCTAGTAACCTCTTTTATCTATAAGTTTACTACTATACTAATCTCTATCTATATTTATCTTATAATATTAAATACGTATATAGCTTACTAGCCTACCTTAGGAAGTAGTTCTAGAGAGCTAAACGTAGTACTACGTATATAATTATTTATAATTAACTCTAGATGCCTTAACTACTTAGAAAGGGCAGAAAGAAAGGCCTATATAGCTATAGCCTTATTATTGTCTTTAAATACTGTAGTAGTTTAATAGATTTAGGATAGGCCTAGGTACTAGAGGTAAAGAATAGCTAGGATAAAGTTACTAAATATATAGGAGTTTATTCTTGTAGAAAAGTTATACTAAGAGGGTCTTGTAATCCTTAGAGTATCCTAGTCTATAAGGAATTTAGTTACGCTTATATAGGGGGATTTCTAAGTATATAGTCTATCCTTTAGTAAACACTGTAGCCTAGCAGCTGTTAAGTAAGTAATCTTCTAGATAGGAAGAATAACCTTAAATATATAGGCCTTATAGCTATTTATACTGTCTAGGCTATTATATCTATCTAGGAGATATTTCTAAGTTTCTTAGTACAGCTTATATATAAGATAGTATATTACTAGTATCTATACGCTCTTATATCCTAGTAAGTCTATACTACCTATAAATATAAGATTAACCTCTAATTAGATAAGAGTAATTTCCTCCTATAATAGTATATTAGTAAATACTCTAAAGAAATAGTAGATAGCTAACTAACTACTTATAGTATATATATTAGAATGCTTTGCTAATTGCAAAGATAGCTTAGAGCTAAACTAGTTATTAGCTAGATATAGAATAGAGCTAAGATCTAAGAAAGATAATCTTTACTTAGGTAAACTATAACTGCTTCTAGGATCTAGCGTAGATCTTATAAGTGTTTAAGAAGAAATATATACTTAGGAAGGAACTAGCTTTAGTAGGCTTAAAGAGGCCTTATAACTCTTATTTATCTAGACTTATCCTTAAGAAGGCGTACCTAACTATAGAGTTATAGTTATTTACCTCCTTTAGGTTAGAGTACAGTGTTACTAAGGAGTAGAATAATTTCTAGCTTAGAACTATTTTTTGCGTTAGGCTAGCAGAGTCCTAGAAGGCCTATAGCTTAGTGTTTATTATATTAGCAGAGGTATATATTACTAATCTCTGTAAGTTAAACTAGGAGAGCTTATTTAAAGTATAGTAGTTATAAGAGAAGGTCTCTGTTTATAAGGACTTAAAAATACTACTAGTAAAGACTTAGGTTAGCTACTCTTATACTAAAGTTATAATTATAGAATTTCTTATTCTATATATTATTGTCTTTTATAGTTATCCTTAGTTATAGAGATAGGAGAATTAGTATCTCTATCTATACTATTACTCTAGTATATAAGATTAATATTAATATTAGACTCTTCTAGTTAAAACTAGTTAGAGCCTAAGTAGTTACTAGAGGAATTATTATCTAACTAGTTTAAAAAGAGAGAGCCCTCTTAAAGAGAATAAAGGGTTAAGGATAAGAGAAGCTAGGTCTAGAAGATAATAGTAAGTAACTAGTATAAAACTTAGGGCTAGACTAACCCTTTAACTTTATAGAGTAACACTATTTATACTTCTAAAGAAATCTGCTATTAATATAGAGCAGCGTAAAGATAAAGTAAGGGGGGAAGCTTTCTCTATAATAGTAAATAGGGATAGGTTAGCTATAGTTTAAATAGTAATAATAAGGAAAATAAAAAGAGAACGCAGAAAGTTATATAAACTTATTATATATAGGTATAGTCTACTAAGTAACGCTTAAATTAGTAAATTAGCTTTTAATTATCTGCCTTAGTTTATTTATTATAGTGTGTAAAATAAACAAAGAATATTAACAAACAGATATAAGTTAAAAGATAAGTTATAATAGTTAAGAAAGAAATACTACTATATAACTATATTACTGTTAATTATAGACTTATAATATATAGTTAAAGATAAGAAGATTATAATCTAGGCTTTTAGAGTATTACAAGTAATATTTAAAGTTAATTAATAATTAATAAACTATTATATTTTAATCCTCTAGTTTAGAGGTTAGTATAAAATAATCCTACTAGAGCTTTGTCTAATATAGTTATTATATTATATAAAGAATAATATTTAAAGAAGTAACTTTAAGGTTGTCTTATATTCTTTAAAATCTATATAGATCTAGATATTAATACTCTTATAAAACTAGTAATATTCTAATAAAGACATTATAAAAGAAGTTAGACTAAGTTATAGGTAAATAAAATAGTTTAATATACTATTTAGGAAGTACATAGGTTTATTTAGATAGGTAGATAATATATAAGATTAAGTAATTATATAGTTAGTATATAGTTACTAGAAACGCTTACTAGTAACTACGTATTAACTACCTCTGCTTCTAGACTAGTTTTCTTACTAGTCCTCTAAGCCTGCTAGTATATTAGAGTTAGTAGACAGGTAGTAATACTTAAAAATAAAAGGGTTATATTTTATTATATAGGAAGAAGCGTATTATTAGCCTCTATATAGCTACCTAATTTTTACTGCTAGCTAATGCAGAATATATAACTAGTATTACCTTCTATCTCTTTTTCTTTAGCTTAAGCTAGTAGAAAAAGGTAGTTAATACGTAGTTACTAGAAACACTTACTAGTAACTACGCATTAACTACCTCTGCTTCTAGACTAGTTAGTCCCCTAAGTTTACTAGTAGGCGTAGTTAGTGTATAGTTACTAGAAACACTTACTAGTAACTATATATTAACTACCTCTACTTCTAGACTAGTTCTTCTACTAGTCCTCTAAGCCTGCTAGTAGGCGTAGTTAGTATATAGTTACTAGAAACACTTACTA